ATTTCAGCCAAAAGTCAGTTGTGACATCAGTTGAATAAAATGTCTGGTCTTGTTAGATATTTCACTGAAAATGCAACTACCATGGAAACGAAATGATTCTACGGGCTTAAGAATGGGATACCAAATTTGTTAAAGTTATGCTTTTTATGGCAGTCATGCAAACAGTGAATGGAATGTAGCCGAGTCAGTGTACAACTCAGAAAAAAATATTGAACCATTCATGTATTTCGTTACAAAACTCATAAAACACTAGTTTTATTTAAGATACCATTTTAAAGAACTCTACACAACTCATAGATGAGGTGACATATTCATTGGGCGCAATGACTTCGAAGTTTGAGTGGAAAGGTCTTGGGTGGTTTGACTCTTAGTCAGAATGACCAGATACCCCACGAGTAACAAGCAAGCACCAAGCACCAAGTCCTCATAACTAATTTACAAGGAAATGTGTAGCAACTACAGGGAAGCATTAACAATTATGTCTTAAGAGTTAAAGGGTTAAAGTTGTGTGAAAAGAAAGTTAACCTAACAATATCAGAGGTGAAACTGTAGCTGAATGGACAACCATTTGTGCAGAAAATGTATGTTTGTAAGGTGGCCTGAGATTATAGGTTGATTAAAAAGGGCTAAGTTAGCTTATAAGTCAGAATGCTCAGGCTGCATTTTTTTGTACCAATTCTATTCATTCTGGGGGCGCTTTGAGAGTAGAGTGGACCTTGAGTCCAGGGCACCTGAGTGCCAGACCACTGTTTCCCCCACAATGCTTTTTTTAGTGCAAGTAAGCATCATGTTTTATTTTACATATTGAGGATCTGTTACAAGGATGCATTAGAGGCAATATTAGTAAATGGGTTCTCTGGTAGAAAGGCTTTAGGAAATGTTAAGTTGTCTTGTGTTGGTGCATTGTTGTCAACAAATGAAAATGCTGTATTAATACCAACCTATTAGCTGAGCTTGGCTTTAAGCCGAGATCCTAAACTTGAGAGACCTGACAATTGATTCTAAAGCTTGTCCCTCTCATTGCTATCCACTGGATAGAAGTCTATCCAGTGGATAAGACTATATGTTTTTCTATCACTTATCTGCTGGATAGTGATTTATCCATTGGATAGCATTCTCTGCTCTTTATACAACTGGGCCCTGTAATATAAGTACAATTAAACACAACATGAATTCCACAAGTCAGAGTCAGTTATTGTTCGTGATCACAACTGTTTTAATTTCCGAGGTCGCAATGTACTTCTTACAATAATTATGGCTTTTAAATTTAGATAGCACAGAGATTTCTCAAGAGTATGGGATAAGGGAATCAATGTTTTGATCTATGGTGAAGGTCAAAAATTCTGGAAAGTTTGTGTGTCTTTATCAATAGTAGTCCTGTACTAGTGTAAGGGCAATTATAAACAAATATAACAACATGATCAGGTGGTCAAGTTTTATGCCACATAAGAATTATAATCAGTAAAAAGTAACTTTCTAGTTTTGGCATATATTATAGCGTGTCACTTTCATGCACTTAACCTTTTAACTTGCATGAGTGACCAAGACAGAATTTCTCCTTACAATATCATCACAGTATGGAATAGACAAGTAATGAGTATAACGACATAAATCAATTAGGGATTAGTTGATACAATACCAAATTCTCCAAACTAACATTACAAGAACTATATGGCACACAGTAAGGAGAATTGCTCAATAAATCTCTGCACTTAAGGAATCAGCAGATTTGGGGGTAAGAATATTTTAATCAAAAATTAAAATTTTGTAAGTGCTGCCTGCAAAGAAGTGCCACTGTTGAGAGTACTCTTCCAGGGTACCACTTTGTGTGAAGCAGCTTTGAAACTTATTTTCCTACCAAACAACATTTTTATTGTCAGGTGGTTGAAATAAAAGCGGGCATTCACAATGATTATTTTGGAATGGTAGAACAAGCCGTTGTAAAGCACAAGCTTATTTTCACAGTCAGAGAAGACAGTGAATGGTGATTTGAGCATGTTTCTGATTTATTGTGAACATTTCTTTGTTATCAGTTTTTGGAAGTAGGAGCATTACTTTGTTAAATTAGATACCACCCTCAATATGTGCTGTCCCCAACTGACCAGATCAATTACCTGCAGAATGATCAACTGTCTAGTTCAATAATTGACATAGCAGCTGACTGACTGACAAATAGGTAGACTCACAGAAAGACTGACTGAGTAACTAACTGGTAGACTGACTGACTGACTGGCCAGGTGACTGACTGACTGCTGACTGACTGACTGACTGACAGCCTGCCTGCCTGCCTGCCTGCCTGACTGACTGACTATTGGACTAACTAACTGACTGACTGCCTGCCTGACTGACTGACTAACTGACTGTCTAACCAACTGACTGACTGACTTATTACCTGACTATATAACTGACTGACTGATAGCCTGCCTACCTACCTGCCTGACTGACTGACTGACTGCCTGCTCACCTGACTGACTGATCACCTGACTGTCTAACCGACTGACTGACTGACTGACTTAAATGAAAAATGGTAAAAGTTAACTGCTAAGGGTCATTTGACATCCATTGATTGTCTGAATTCTCGAAAGGACAAATTTGGATAATACTTAGCTCATAGCTTGTGGTTTTTGAAAAAGCCAAAATGAGTAATATCCATGCATGTAACGCAATGATACAAAGCAAGACTCAAACTGAAAGGATAAAAAAAAAAAACAGGAAAGGGAATGCAAGCAGTAGGTGTGCAAACATTTTTTATGTGTTTTAGATTTAAGAAAGATGAATATTTTTAAGTATAACTGGAGAAGCTCAATTTCCAAGTGCAGTGAATTCAAGCCATGAGAATTACAATGCTTCCTCGGCTTTCCATTTTAAAATGTGTTGAACTTATTGAGAGGCACAGCTGATGAGAAACTACTTTGTGCTTATGTCTTTCAGGTAAAGAGAGGATTGCCTGAAGAGACTAATTGTACCTGATTTCAATTGATATAAGGGTGGATTAAAAGTCGCAAACTGATGTTCTTGTCATACAGAAACAGGTGAGTAATGCTTGAAAAAGTATCCTAAGATTACTTTTAGCGTGTTTGATAAATTTGACACTCAGTTTGTTTCACTGTAGTCACGTTGTATTGTTACTCGAAGAGAATAATTAATAATTATGCTTTGAAATTGAATTATTGTTTTGATAGACATCACCCAAGCTGAATAGCTAATTGAACAACTTTCTGCGAAATACATATAAACTTTTATAAAGTAGAAATTTCCTTCACGCTTTTATACGAAGATGAAAGCTTAAGAGGCTCTGATTTGGTTGTTTTTTTGTCATTCCTTCAATAGATGAGTGCATTTCGTCTTGTTGTTCAATTCATATCGTTAAAAGTTTGTTTCATTCCTGAAATTGTTGCTATAATGATGTCCAATTCTCATAAACCCAAAAAATTTGAGGTTTGACAGAGTAAGAACTTATCTACAAATTACTAAAAATCAAACTTTGACGCCATTTTTTTATCTTTGGATGTGGCTTTGTCTTTTATTATTGGTTCAATGTCCACGGCGGGAACCTAAGTAAAGGGGACGCCATTTTGTTTCTCTTGTCAGCTCAAGGACGAATAGTACTTTACAAATCACCTCCGAATCTAGAAAAACAGCGCGCGCTAAATAGTAGGTTTTTTTGTGTAATATTTATACCAGTCACTGCTGCCTTTATTTTTTTTTTTTGATGTGATTAATTAGCAAGAGAAATATTGATTCTTATGCTAAATTTGTGATAGTCAATGTTCCTTAACTACAATTCCGTTCATCTCGACGCTGGTGAAAAAAAAACATTTTGTGAAATTTTTTCTTTTTCCCATTTGTTTTCTCTTCGTTCGAATCAAAACAGAACCAGTGATATTTTAAGAGGTATTTATTTTGGAGCTGTTGATTTAAGTTGATTTGCTCAGAAAAACAGTGACAGAATTGCTATTCACGGTGCAATCGCATCTCCAAAGAATGAGAGAATAGTTTTGGCGAATTTAAAGGAGTTTGGAAACGCGATTAATCGTATTCATATCACGCGTTAATTGATAATATGTTGTTTTATTTTTGCTTAATTGTTATTGGTGGTTTGTTTTTTTCAACAGTTTTTTAATAGTTTCAATGTTGTTGTATGGTAATGTGTTACTTTGAAGTCTTCCATTTGCGTTAGCTTTTTTACTCTGGTATTTTATCTTTCCGTTCCCTTTTCTCTAGATGAATGTTTTGAGTTTAAAGGTTTTGACATTCTTCTACTCTCCGATTTATTTCAGATTTTGTAAGGAAGCATAGCAGAAGAAAATATACTCAAGAATGCTTAACGTCTAACAGAAAGAAGGAAGGAAGGCCAAGTATGTATTTGTTTACTATGATTGGGATTTGAGTGAAATTCTATGTAATAGACGTAAAAGTGTTATGTTTACGTTCCTGTTTCCGAGAGAAATATTTGCGGTTACAATTTACTTGAACCGATGGAGGGCGGGTTATCATCTAAATTTGCCATATACAGATTTCAGTTTTCCTAGTTTGCCTGATTGCGATGAAAATGTAGTTATTGTTAGGACATGTCGTTATTATGAAGGACCTTACGTAGTCGTGACAATAACGCCAAGGAAACACTCATAACTATGTGGCTTTACATTTGTCTTTAAATTTTGGCGAGTGGCTCGCAGTCTCTTCTTCAGCGTTGATATGGTGTCATCGAATTCCAAGAAGATGCGTAAATGCGTCTTTCAGGTAGTCAAGGTTATAAGGACGTTTAAGGAAGAGAATGGTGATCATAATAGATATGTTATCAAGACAGAAATCGTTGTTATTTGGTAGAAGTTTCCTGTTTCGGTAACTTGCACCGGAAAGTATTTTCAGTTTCGTTGAGTAGTAAATTGTTATACAATAGATCACAAATGTTAAATGCTCCAGTATCATCGCTTACTTTTCCTCTTCCGGCTTCTTAAAAGATTCACTGTGTTTTTAATTTATCATATACAGTGCACTTGTACTTGGCATATATTTTATTGACTTATTGCCAGTTACATATGACGGGAAAAAGTTATTGATTACATTTCTGTTTTAAAATTTCTTTCACATCGACAGAGGAAGAAAGACGAAAATGAAAGGTCCAAGAAGGTAGCAACGTGAAAAAGAAGGAGTAATTTGCTAACATTCCAAACTATCGCGTGCACCACTATGTAGATTGAATGGGTTTTGATTTTAAAACTTTGATCCACATTGTGTGTTAAATAAAGAAAAAAGAAAAGGTCTGCCTTTCCTAAGGCTCTGTCTATAAAAGTTATTTGTCCACTTTTAAGTGCAAGTGATTGTCACGAGAAATGACCATCTCAGGCAAGAAACCAAAGAAAAAGGTCAACCATGGAGTGAACGAAAAATCGGGGGTCGATCCGCCATCGTCCCCCACCACACCCACCTCTTATAGACAGTTGATTTGTAATTTAAGACGAGTTCATCCTTGTGGTAAAACTAAATCTTTATTAAGAACACATGCGTATTGTAAGACACATGCTTATTACGATATGTCGTACCACAATGTTGAACTTGTCTCAAATTACAAAACAACTGTATATAAGAGGCGGGTGTGGTGGGGGACGGTGGCGGATCGACCCCCAATTTCTCGGTCATTCCATGATTGACCTTTTTCTTTGGTCTCTTGCCTGATATGGTCATTTCTCTTGACATCTAAAGTAAGATAGAGAGAGCTTCAAATGAGCCATACAAAAGTCTCCCGCCAAAGACTTAAAATTAATTCTTCCCAAATACAACAAGGACACCCGTCCGTACTTTACGTTATCTAAGTGAACCACAAGGTAGAAGTAGACTCCAAATTCAAACTTCTTTGTTGTTTTGAGCAGAGATACCTACGAAATAAAGAGAAATAAATGAATTACCCACTTTCTTAAATATTGTAGACGGCTTCATATCGTGAAGAATTATAATTTCCGTTCAAATTTACCACAGTTATACTCACCAGTAATATTATGTATCCTAGTCTCCTTGACCTCTTCAGATCGCAAACTCCGCTGTATTGGAAAGAAATGAAAAATGCAAGATGTGTTAAAAAAATTTCGTCCTAGCTGGCCCTAATTAAAAATAATTTGCTTAAAATGACATCTAAAATATAACAACAAATAAAAATTACCATTCAATTACACACAGAAACTAGAAGAGGTGAAATAAATTTTGAATCCGCTTGTTTTTCCATAAAATAACTCATCATTAAAGTTAAATTTGCAGACTGACTTTACAAATAAGAAATAATCCAAGAAGGTTTTGTTCAAATTTGCGAGTCTTGTCGGTCGCACAATGAGGTGGTTGGCTTCTGGAAAATTTCTGCGATGAACATACAGGACAAAATAAGGATAAGGACTTAATCCAGTTTTCTCCCGATATTCATTCGAAAACTTTCAAACTGTCACCAAAGCCACCGCATTTCTCAGACTTCGTCTTCACTTCCTAATACTCACCTTGAAGGTAAGGAGTATGCAAGCATGCAAATTTTGATTCCCTCAACAATAACAAGTGAATTGGCTAATTAACAAAAGGAACACATGTTCTTCATCTTAACTTTTCGCCCTCTTCACTATGTTTGGTCATTTGGCGCAATGTTTTAATGCATGACAACTAAATGAAGGTCCAAATGCAAGCTGAATTGTGCGTAAATTTGTTCGTTTTACCATTTTCTTTATCGAAAAAAAAAACTGATTTCGAAATATCTGTAATAAGGCTTCTCTTGCGACGTAAAGACGCGAAAAGAAGTCTACATTTCATGTGTAAAAATTAAATTGCCAGTTTTTGACAATATGCGTTCTGTATACCTTGTTGCTAGTTATCTGCAAACAAAAGGTGAAATTGGCATGACCTTAATTAAAGGGGTGTCGCAACCATGAAAAGAGATAGAAACAGTTTTCAGGTGTACGTTATGACAAACTGAAAGCATCGCGAAGACCACTATTAACCCTTTTTTCGCTTTCACAAAGCTGTTTTCCCTTGACGACATCGGAATTCTAAATTTGAATCATTAATCCTTTAAGTCAGCGGCACTAAGGTGATTTTTCAAATTACGCCATAACATTGGTCTGTTTTCGATATGGAGTAGTGGTTCAATATGCGAGTTTTTTCTGTCAAAAATGCTGGACTGTATTTATGATGCAACTTTGACATTCCCCCCCCCCCGGGCAACCCAAAGGCATTTGACTGTTGTGTGTACCCGGGGGAGGATGGGATATTTGAACCTTACTTGGGTGGACAGGGGCATTTGAACTGGTCTTTCAAGCCTAATAAACGTTTTTTATTGGAGGAGTTTGAAGGTAAAGAGTCTGCTTTCATGAGCGTAAGACCATTTTCACCTCGTACAATGATGCTTACAAGAAATAAAAACCCGCCAACAAAAGAACTAATACTTGACTTTGCTAAATTTTTATAATATTCGTTGATCACACAAAAAATCGTTCAAAATTAAGTGGGGCATTTGAACGCAACTTTGTCCGGGGGGAGGGGAGGAGAATTTAAACGAGTCAATCTGCAAAAGTTTACGTGTCTAGGGGGTTGCCCGAAGGGGGGTGTTGAAACATTGAATTGATCGACGCATAAATAGGCGATTTGCGTGGTTTTTCGAATAATTAACAAAATTCCCCTGTGACTTACGAGAAGGCTTTATCAGATGTGTAAACAGAAAGTCATTAAGTTGGGATTCCAAAAATTAAATTTGCTCTAGAGTGACTGAGATGGGGTATAGGCACAGAATTGACCATAATAGGGTAGGGGGTTCTTAGAGGCCAGCAGGACATACTGAGCACAAATTGACCGAACTAATCCCCTCTAAATGGTCTATAATATGCCGAAAACATTTTAAACAATTTACATTAATTCTCTGTCCTCCCCCCTCCCAAAAAAAAAATTGTAATAAAACACATGCATCAGTCATCAGTGGTAAATGAATAAACTTTTTGATTGCTTTACCTGAACCAAAGCCCAAAACGGATCCTATGACAATTTGAATTAAATTAAAATACAGTGTAACTGTTTGTGACAGTGCAAAAATACCATTGATTTTGGGTTTACAACTTATTGGTGGTGGTGGTTCAAGGGTTTTCAACCTCTCACAAAGCATGGTGTAATAAAGTAACTTACACCTGCAAAATCTTACATTACTTTGGAAACCTGGCACTTAAAATTGCTGTAAAGAATAACAAAAAATAACTTACTGTTAATTTTAATCAGATATGTCCTCCATGTACTTCAGTGTCCACTGCACCCCAACATGATGATTGAACCCAGAAATAAAAACAAGGAAATAACATCTCAAAATTCAATCATTATGGTTACTTTCAAATTGGCTTAACCTTTGTTCTATGCAAAAAAAATCGTATTGCTTACACAAATTATTTTTTATTCTGGCAAAGTGACTAGGGAGTTGTAATGTTTCTCACTGAGACAAGGTACCTGCTTAGTGTCCATGGGCTGGAGTACTGTTCTCCCATTTGTTAAACTCTGTACTAAGGTAGTTCAAGATCTGTTCAGTGCAGCAAGACAGTCAAGTTTTCAAAACATTTTCCATACACTTCTCTTTGTTTTTTTGGTGGACTAAGTCTTAGCATCCCAGATCAAGACTGAGGAAGAGACATTATGGATGAAGCAGACTCCATTGCAGGTCACCAATAGTCACCCATCTCTTGTAAACAGTTCAAGACCTGTTTAGTACAGCAGGACAGTCCAGATTCCAAAACAGTTTTCACACACTTCTCTTCGTTTTTTTGGTGGACTAAGTGTTAGCATCCCAAATCAATACTGAGGAAGAGACTTTATGGGTGAAGCAGACTCTATTACAGGTAAGCTGTCAGTCACCCATCTCTTTTACACAGTTCAAGACCTGTTCAGCACAGCAAGACAGTCCAGATTCCAAAAAAGTTTTCACACACTTCTCTTCGTTTTTTTGTTGGACTAAGTCTTAGCATCCCAAATCAATACTGAGGAAGAGACTTTATGGGTGAAGCAGACTCCATTACAGGTCAGCTGTTAGTAACCCATCTCTTTTACACAGTTCAAGATCTGTTCAGCGCAATAAGACAGTCCAGTTTCCAAAACAGTTTTCACACACTTCTCTTTGTTTTTTGGTGGACCAAGCCTTAGCATCCCTGATCAAGACTGAGGAAGTGACTTAATGGATGAAGGCGGCTCTATTGCGATCTGCTATCAGTCATCTCTTATCCACACTTCAAGATCTGTTCAGCTCAGTAAGCTGGTCCACTAGTATTCTAACCAAATGAAGTGATCATAGAGTGCCTAGGTAGTAAAAACTCATGCGATGGTAATGGAAATGTAACGGTGAGCCTTTGTAAAAGCAAATGTGACTTCTCCGAAATTCCTTATGTTGACTCGTGATTAGTGTGGGTCAATAATAGTAAGTGGGTCGGTCAGCGTTTTGTCATTGCCGAAATGAAACATTACAAGCTCTACATATTTAGAGCATGTAACCTTCGTAGACCAATCGACTCTGCCCTTAAAAAAAGAGAAAAAATCCACACTGAGAGAAAAATTTGCAGAAACCAGTTTTCGCTTACCGCAACTAGACGTTTGAACGAGAATCAAATCTCCATCATTTCAGGATGTTGTCTCGTCAAGTGGTTGTTTAATGCACCAAAGCAACTCAAAGAGTTTTTCCTACATTGAGACGTCGCCAGTGGCCAGCAAAAATGCCATTTGTGCAAAGTAAACGCGTTAACCACTCTTCCAAATCAAACCATGCTCGAGGTTGCGATCGCCATCTTGAATAGCAGGATATGTGGTTCCCAGTACCTTCTTAATCTAGGCACGGTTTGTGTTACTTGATATATTCAAAAAAAAAAATCTCTCCCTTGCGACAAGATTTACCAAGACAACGGTTACTTGATTCGTAGTCATTTTTGTTTGTTTTTTCGGCTGACATTGAAGTGAAATCTGTAGCAAAAGCACACAACCTAGTAACAGGCTTCTGATGACAGCTAATGGAAGAACACACTTGCTAAACGTTCCTACATCGCCCTATAAAAGCGACCAGTCAAAGGCTAACTTTTCGGTATACAGCTGTTTCGAGAAAGGTTGTCAGAAAAAAGGACAAAGGAGCACGGAACAATCTCGAGGGGTAATCTGAGTATACAGTAATCAATAAATTTTAACAAGTCAAACAAATAAATAAGTAAATAAATTTATCAACCCGCAATGCCTCGTCCTTACTGGCTTTTTTTCAGGTTTGCCTTGAAACCTGAGGACCTGAAAACTACTCACAATACCTTTCGAGATGTTGCGTGCATTTTTACGGTTTTTTTTCCGACCTTTCTCGAAACAGCTGCATAATAACGTGTAGCAGCATTTCGTTATTCCAGAAAAGTTTATTCATTATACTTAAAGACATCACCTTGTCAACCTAATTTTATAACTTATTTAGTTGCCGCTATAAGGTGCTTTTTAATGTTTCCTGGAAATCTTTCGGGAAAAGGTAGCCCATCAATCTATTTCCATTTTTTCCTCGAGCGCATGCCATCATATCTGCAGGTTAGCTCTAAAGGGGCTGTTGACATTTCGAAAAAGGAAGGGGGAAAATGAATAATTGAGGGACTTAACCCGTACACTGAATTACCCTGACCAAGAAAATTACCCCCAAGAAAATGCCTGTAAGTTAGAAATTGAAATTATCGAGAAAGAAAACGACGCTCTCAGTAACTAAGAAAAACTATAGTGCTCTGAAGTTATTGGTCGAAATCCACCTAACAAACTGGATGAATCGTTTGCTCTTAGCTCTAGGCAAGATGACCGAAAAAAAAGAAAAACCCTTGGGCCCCTTTTTGTGTCTATGGCTTCTGATAAGACAAAATCCACGATGGTAAGAATTAATGCATTTAATTTATTAAACATGAATAAACTGAAACTTTCTTTAATTAATATATGTGTTATTGATCAACCAGATATTGTCCAAGTTGATTTCTTTTTCTTTCTTTTTAGTTCGTTTGTTTGTTTGATTTTTCTAGACTTCTTCTTAGCAAACAATTTTGAAACTCATTGTATTTTTCTTCGATGTGAATTCCTTCAGGATGTATTTAAATTAACATGAATTATGCCAAATTATCTGTTAGTCTTCATAACTAAATAAAAACTACGCATGCCTTTGAAGGTTTTTTTAATGCTTAAAAATAACTCACTTGCTAACACAGCAAGAAACGCATCTAGTCTACAAAAAACATAAGGCAACTGGAGCAAGTAATCTTCTACTTTTGGGCTACTTACAGCAATTTGGAAATGATAAAATGTCTTAATTTAGCAAGTTAGCAAAATGTAGACGAAACTAATCAAATGGGCAATATTTGTTCAAAAGACTAAGGGCAGACATATCTCTGAGCAAACTCCTCCAAAATATCCTTGTTGAGATCACGTTTCTCTGGCCACAGTTTAACAAACGCAGTCTTGTCCAGCTGGTACCTGCCCCCTTTATCCAATCCCATGATCAAGTACGCTGTATTTTCCTTCATATCGGGACTCTGGCACGATCCACGTTTCTTGAGTTCGATCCTCTGTCTAACCTTTAAGTTCTTGTGGCCTTGTTGAATAACTTGCAAAACCTCGACAACGTAGTTTAGCATACTTCCGTCTTCATCGATCAGCAGAACCTTTCCTTTTATAACTGTAAGTAAATTATTGAATACGTTATACAAGCAAAGGGGAATCAAATTCCTTGCCTAGCGTTTTGAACTCTTTAATTCGTTTTCATTATCCGCTTTCGTGGGCTCATCCCGACTTTTGTATTATAAAGCGACTAAGGTGCTCATAAAAGTTGCCGGTTGTCCCCGACCGACCCCTACCTCGCAAGGTTTCTCTGACTTTCTCTAAAGCTTGTCACTATTCATCAATACAGTCCCTAGTGAAGGCAGATCCTGTAACATTTTGAGTTTCACACCCCAAGCCACCATACAATGCTCAGATAGAATATCAATCAGTCGTTTCAGAGCACAACACTATGTAACACATGATGAAGTGTCCCATATTTTTTTACACCGATCCAAACCTCTGAATTGAGAACTGAGTGTTTTCTAACAACTAGATTGTGAGCTTGAGATTTTTATCGAGTAATTGTTGTTGAGGGCGAAGCCCGAATCAATTTTCACGCATAGAAATCGGGAGCGAATAATCTATTGGTTAGATTAAATCTAGTTACCTTGCAAATGTTTACAACAGGACAGGCTCGTGTTTTTATCTCGTTTACTTTACAACCACACAATGCTAGGCTACTCACTCTACTCACTATATATCACGGAATAGAGAGCGAGTAGCCAATCAGATTGCAGCATTTGGGATAGAACGGTAATAGATTTATACTGAATCATAATAGCAGGTACTACGCTTCGAATTAAAAAGGAGTGGCGATCTTACCGTAATTGTAATTGTCACAAGCTAAATTAATCAGCTTGTCCACATCACCAATAGGAGGATCTCTTTGAGCACATTCATCTGGAATAGGGAAATAAAATTACAGCAATGAATAAGTTGAACGCCCTCCTCGAATGATTGCTTAATTTGATGCTGAGTTACTAAGTTGTTTAAGCCATTTTTAATGTCATCAGACGTACATGTTGACAAAATCGTTCAAACAGTGGTGTCTATTCTGTCTAATAACCCTCACCTTGGGTGCATTTGCACGATCTTAAGCCAACTTCACAAACTCCCAACTTCAACGGGCTGTGCTTCTCAGGTCCATAAAATTTGCTGCAGGATTGATCTGTACTCATGAAAACAAACAAACAAACAAACAAATAAGTATACAAATATTTACTTAATTCCTTAAGAATTCCGAGTAACTTTAACACGACTAATTTCTCCGAGTATTTACCCTCTTGACAATGACAATAGAACCGGAACGAACCAGACCAAAACATCAAAGCCCAGTTGTTCAAAAGGTAGATAAAGCTATCCAACGAATAAATTGCTATCCAGCGGATATGGGTTCACAAAACGAACTGTGCTATCCACTGGATAGAGATTAATCCAGCAGATAGCGTTCACCACCATTCGAACAACCGGGGCCAGTTCCGATGAAATATTTTTCTCTTGAACCTGACATTCAACAATGCATTACACATAACCTTTATATCAATTCCATTTAAGTTTTAAATAAACTCTGACCTGGTTCGTAGTAGTCGTATACATTCACCGGTACCGCTTGCACGACTCCCACATAATATTCTCTATCAAACCGAACATCTACACATAGAGGACGGTCACTGCGAATCTGCGATGAAAAATGATCATAAGGCCACTAGTATAACAAGGATCACTTCCTATTAATATTTCAAAACAACTAACAGAAAGAAGACACACGATTTCTAGTGAACAGCAACTGCGGAGACCACATGGTAACATGGTCATGTTAATGTGGTCTGCGCCAATGGTCACGGACCCAGAAAAGTGTCTCAAGTGGAAAGACGGATAAGGAAAAGGATGATAAAACGAGAACACTTCCTTTAACTACTCTAGTTTAGCAAAAGATTTCCGTTTAGAGAACGACAGAATTTGCATTGAATTCGATGGCTTGAGAAGTGAGCGAATACAAAACAATCAGTATTGAACTTCAATCACGCGATCAAGACTATACAGTTGACTCCGAAGAATCAGCTTGACTGTACTTATACTTAAAAGAGAGCCTACCAAAGCCAAGGGTGTACTCTAGATGTATCACAAGTAGACCCTAGCTTGGATGATTTAGCTCAAACTAGACCGCCATTTACTGCGTCTTTTACAGATTCAGAATTTTCGGCGTACTTCCTGTACTCTACTGGCTTCTCGCCTGAATTTAAAGAATTTTGCCCGAGATATAGGTGAAGACGCGGGGGACGACGACGACAAATGAATGCTGCCTTTAATCCTTTCCCCCTGTGCCTCCTTGTATGAAAGGGAAACCTAGGCTTGTAGAGATTCATATTCACTGATCTACATATCTTACCTCACTGAGGTAAACAACCAGTGAGGTGTGTGAGACCTCAAGCTTATCCACTTCAGCTATATCCTGCAACTGTTAAAAGGAAAGAAAGCTTTCAAAATTTTAATTCAAAATGACACACTTTTTCCTCCAACTTTGGTTTTATGAAAATTTTAATCGTTTCCTTATGCGGTTTTTTCCAGCGATTTTCCAGGTTTATTGATGTCGCTGTCACGACGATGACAGTTTCGCGAACCATAGTTTGAAACAATCTCATGTACAACAACAACCAAAGTGCAATGAAGACACTGAATCAAAAAACGAGAAGGGCGGTCACAACCGCGACAACTAAATAAAACCTATTTGAGGATTAATAGCAAAAATATCAAATGTATACGAAACATAAACGAAGAGAAGGATAGAAGGCAATTACAATCAAATTGAGTGCACTTTAATTTTCTTCCCGATTGTGTAAATAGCGAGGTCGACATCAACCTACCTTATTCAGTGAGATCTGATCGGGTTTAAATCCTGTCAGAATTCCAATATCCATTATGGACATTCCGATATTACCTTTCTCTTTGTACCTGGAAATGTAATGAGAAACATTTCAGACCAACAGGAATTTCATTGAGGTCGAGAAATAGCCGGGTCATTGTGTAGAGATGTGTCGGCAAGACACTTCACCCTCATCCAGTGCCACTCTCCACCCGGGAGTATAAATGGGTACGGGTGAACCGACAGGGAAAGCTGACGAAATGCCTGGGGATTGAGGAATGAGGAATAAAAACTTACCTAGTGCAAACTTTTAAGTGAATGCTCTTGACGGGCTGATGTTTAGGCGGAGGCCTTTTGTTTTTATTATTCTTGTTCTTATTCCTCTTCTTTTGCTTTTCTTTCTCCTCTTTTCTGCATTTTCTTTTCGCTTTCTTGCCTTTTAATTTCTTGCACCGATTTATTCCTCCCTTGTCGTTCTTTTTTCCTTTCTCGTTATCATCAGCAGCTTCATCTTCCACAGGACCAAACAAATTGCCCACTTTAGGTTCTTTGATTTCTTTCACTGTGATGTTTAGGTCAAACTTACAACTCTCGCCGCGAGTCGACGGAACGTTGTAACGAACTTCAACCTGAAATTTAAACGCAAATTTTAAAGACAATTTTTTACTCTTTCAATAATGCGAAAAGGGTGCAGGGAAATGAAAATGTCTCCTTTTCAAGCGGCAAGCAAAGCATTTCAAGTTGATTTTTTTTCACCGCGTAAGGTGGTTCAGATAAGAGAAATTGTCGATTGTTTAAACTTTTTGATAGCTGACAACATCTCGCATCTCTCATTTTAATAGCTGACAACAACTCACAACGAAAGTGACCACATCGCAAGACAAACGATTATACTTCATAGTGAAAGTGTATTCATAACAATGACACACCATATATATCTATCTATCTATATCAACAAATTAAACCTACGAAAAAAACTCGTGTTTCCTGCGGGATTTCTACTCATACAGTGTACATTTTATCCAACTCATTGCATTATAAAGACGCTGAGCGAAAGGCGAGAACATAGGTGAAGTGCCAAATCAATGAGAAGATCGCAAAAAAAAAAGGGGGGGGGGCTAGAATGTCGTCAAATTTATCAATCAAAAGCAATTTTCGCGCACGGCCATCAAATTGGTCATGATCGGCGCATAAAAACTCCTAAGAGTCAAGCTCATTATTTTCATTCCATGTCCCGATGTATTATAACTTGTATTCTTAGTTTTTCCGCATTTTGTGTCTGGTGTAGTCCGCAAACTATAGCACTGAATAAATTGTTAACCTTACCTCCAGCATTCCTACACCGGTTCCTTGAGTGTCGACAAAGAGATCTCCCCCAAGGAGATGCTTGATCTGCAATGAAACACATAGATGAACTTTACTCTCCGGTTTAACTTTGCGCATAAAATGACTGACCCTTGAACACGATATGCGTTTTGATTCCAATTTTCACCAATAAAGAAATTTTCAATTTGGTGCCGAAATGTTCCGGGATCGCTTTGAATTTGCGTTATTTAATTTTGCCTTGTTGGGGAAAAAAAAACACGAATGGCAAGGCCACGATTGGTTTCGGTTGCACACCACATCGTTTGAAAAGGCGAAACGAGCTTTCTACTACACAAATCACGAAGCGACACATCGCAAAACAGTGCAATTCTCGCTTACTCAAACCCTCCATTGAAATTTCTCTATAAGTAAAGTATCTCATTCGCAATCCTTACATCGAATTGTCTCCGCAGCAGTGCGTTATCT